AGACTATATTACTTTAATTTTGGCCTCACAAATACCAGCCGGTCGAATGTTGGTTTTTCTCCTTTTATCGTCTGGTACACCATCCTGTCGTATATTTGAATTTCTATGCTTCATGAAACGGCAAACATATATTTTCCAGGAATCACCATTATTAAGCTTGTTTGAGCTAAATTGCATCCATATATTTGTGACCAAAGACCACAAATTATTATTAAACACTTCATCTGGAATTTCAAAAGGATCACTTACATTAAAAAAGCGTGATCGTATATTACTCTCTTTGTTCTCTTTGTCTATAACCTCCACAAAATAACATGCAAAAAAAAAAAAAAACTATATATATGAAATATATATATATATAAAAAAAACTATATATATGAAGTGTATATATATATAAAAAAAAGTTAAAGTAACTTTTCTGGTTTTTCTTAAAAAAAATATAAGCCTTTTCTACTCTCTTTAAAAAAAAGAAAAAAATTTTTTTTTTGCCTAACTTCTCTATTCTTTAAGTCGTGTCTTATTTTTTTTTTTTAAAAAAAAAAAAATTCATAACGTTTTAAGATCAATTTAATCAATTTTATTTTTATAGATGTTACGATGCACATGATCGACTTTGATTACGTAGAAGTTTTTTCAACACGTGATTTGTAGACAATCAAAACTCGCTCCACTTTAACCAACCTCTGTAATAGGCATTGGTCATGGTGGTAATAGTGGAATAAATATATATTTATAAAGAGCTCTGTGCCTTTTAATAAGGTTACAAATATGCCACTGACTATTAAAACTATATAATATTTCAGTTACAAAATATTCATATTCTACTGGCCTATCAAGATCCTTTAACCAAACATTAATTTGAATAATATTTTTAGATATAATCAAACACTCTTGTCCTTTAACAAGCCAAAGTTCTTTCATATTCATTCCACATGCTTTTCTATTCATACTACACAAGTGTCCAAGAAGCCCACAATATGGAACAAGCGGATCAGCTCTGAGTAATTGCCTCTTATTAACTTCAACAACATTATAAATATATGTAAACTTAATTGCTTTGTCTTGGTGATAATGTAAAAAATTGCCTGCTTGATAAGTAATTAATAAAAAAAAGACTAATTAGTATGGTAAACCAGAGTGCTAAATTTTATTATTGCTAAAATAAAAAAAAAACTGCTAACCATTATTTACACAAAGTTTAGTTTTTTCAAATAAAGGCGAGTTCTGCCAGAGTGTACCAAGCTAGAACTCACGTTTTTCATCACATACAATACCAGGGCCAAAGTATAAATTAGGCACAATTGTTGGATTATTAAGAATATATTCAATATAATCTACTGGTATTATTGAATATGTAGGTTTGGTTGAAGCTGAATTTGATAGGGTATGCTGTCTAGAAATTGGAACTGTATGACTCCAAACCTTGAGCAATGGAAGTCTATTTCTCTATTTGCAAAAATGTCTTATATTTGCAATAACATGTTTAGGCTGAAAATCTGAATGTTTAAGAATTTTAACAAGGTCTTCATAGGCTGCTGTGAAAATCATATGCTCTGTAATCCATAAAAAGAGCAAAGTAGATGTGAAATTTGGAAAATACAGACTGTATTTTCTATTAAATTCTTCAAAAGATTGTAATTGGCTCTCAAATAGTTTGTATTTTTGGGTATTCTGCTCTGTATTATTATTTGAATTCGTCAAATCATTATCATTATCTTGTAAATATTTTTCGTAATCCTCCAAATTGTCCAAAGTTATATAATCATATAAATATTCTGTTTCATTATCCTTCTAATCTATATTGTCAAGTAATTGCTCTTTCTGATTATTCTTCCAATTATATAAAAAGTTTTCTTCATTAATAACCTAATCTATATCTGATTCACTTGAACTTTTACTAAAATATTGATCTAATTCATTTGATTCATTTGAATATCATTCTGAATTGCTTAAATTATTTGAATGTTTATTTGATTTTTCTGAATTGCTTAAATTTGAAAATTCATCTAATTTGTTTGCTGATAATTTATAAG